TGTCATGATGCATGATTTCCTGGAGGTGGTTGGGTTTTTTTTGTTCTGTTTGGTTTTGGTTACAGACTTAGTGCAAACACTTCAAAATTTTTACCAAGTTACTTTTGCCAGAGGTAACTTGTGGCACTAAAACTCGCTTTCTAGAGTAAGAATTAAGAAGACTTTTTTCTCCCTCGATAGTTACCACTTGTTTTGGTAAGCAATTAACTGTATGCAGCCATATATTCAAGTTTGGTTTTGTTTCTCTCTCTGCCGTTGTAGAATTTGTCTGTATTCTATGTTATCATGTAAATCTGATCAAAGTGAAATTTCTTTGAATTTCAACCATGTAACTGAGAGAAAAGAATAGCCCTATGTGTGAACTGTACGTATTCTTGGTAGTAATGTACAGTATAATATAGGAAAAAAGCATTTTCTGTTTTTGTTTGTTTGAGGGTTTTTTGTTGTTGTTGTTTTTGTTTTGTGTTTTGTTTTGTTTTGCTTTTGTTTTTCTGCAAGCAACCAGTATCTTGGTCTTCTAAATGTACGTCTTTAAAAATGCTTCCAGCTTCCTGAAGGAAACCATTCATAGATGGCTGTAGAACGATGAAAGCTATTGGAGAAAGCTTGCACAGATACAGTGTGAGGGAGTCTATGAGAAGGGCCTAATGAGAGCATCATCTTTTAGGTTTATCTCAGCATTGTAATAGGAGTCCTAGCAGCTTTGTCAGTGGCTTTCAGGGAAGAAACGTGGAATCTGATTGTACAGACTATGATCCTTGTTCTCCCAGGTGCTGAGCATACTCCTGCTGATATTACTGAATTCCCAGTCAAGATAATGAAACCTCAGCCCCAGAGTCCCAGAAAGGACTGAGACATTTCACTCCCTTTGAATTCAATGCAATTTAAGTGGCTATATGCCTTTAAAGAACAGGACGTCAGGTCTACTTATGAGTGCTGATGCTCACAAGAATATGCCTGAAAGGTATGAATAAGAGATGAAACAAGGTTTTAATGCTCTCAAACTTTTTTCAGATGTGTTCATAGCTTTTCAAAAGCTTGATATGGTGGCTTTAGCTTGCAGGTGAATTTCATCTTTTTAGCAGAGTTTTTCATTCAAGACATTTGTCTTAATAGTTGTATTTTTAAACCACTAGCATTTAAGCAATTAAATACGTGTAAAGACAATCCACATACCACCCATAAGAATGAAGTGACTGTGAAGGATATTATTTTGTAGAGCATGAGGCATTTGGGAACACAAAAAACCCTGAGTTATGATGCTTGCAACATTCAGGTCCTTTGCTTTATGCTATAAAGATCCCACGTTGCCCCACTCTAACTAGTGTTTCTATTTAACAGCATCCATCACAAGTTGGGATACCAACTGAATCAGTGTACACAAAGGGATTCTTTGAAAGCAGTTGTTTTATCTATTCCCTGATAAAATTTTATGCTGCACTTTGTCCCTTCATTTGAACCTTCTATATTGTCTTTGTTGTCTTTCCTTATTAAATGCCTAGTTCTAACTTTTTTTGTTGTTATTTACACCTTACCTTGCCTTTTTGCCACATTTTTTTTGTCATGTATTATGACAGCTAAATCTATTATAGGCAGTGATAAATGCTGCAGATGAATTTTTATGAGAGCCATGGACACAACGTATATTTCTGTTCTTCTTTACCTTTGCCAGTGCATTCATGAAAACAGAATTTATAATCCTCGCTGGACTGGAAGATGGCAAATGGTGGTTGGGGAGGAAAAGTATTTTCATTTGCTATGACTGTACCTTGTTAAGTTAATATTTAATGTGATTCTTGATAATTTGAACTCTAACTCCTCCTTCACACGTGCAGGTGACCTCTGCTGAAAGCCACTTTGGTTACTGGAACAAGGTAACAGACAGTTGCTTAGATTCCATTTACAGAGGAGTTGCTTGTCTGACTGCTTTTGTTTCTGGTAAGAAAGAAGAAAGAGCTGTGGTTCAAACAAAAACCAGAGACTCAAATAATGCAGGGTTTTGTTAGTCCTTTGGAGACTTGGTTAAGTCTTACCTGGATAAATTGACTTGTTTGTTTAGAGTCCCACTGCCATCTTTGTAGGTATACTCATCCATTTTTTCAGAAGGCCATTTGGAGCAGGATTCCAGCTTAAAAGGTCTGAAAGGCCTTTTGAAGGTGCCTCTTCTTAACTCCAAATAGAGACTAGCCTCTAACATAGCTGTTTCAGAGAAGTACATGTAAATGTGTGGTGGGACTACCTCCTCCCTTGCTGATTTTACAGTCTAAGCAGATTTTTCATTCTGTACCAATCCTGGCCATTTTTTATGTGAAGATCTTAGGGAGAGTCTGATTTTTGTTATGTGATTGCATTGTGCTTGGTGCTCTGACTGCGGCAAGTGAGCATTTCTCAGGGCTGCTATAACAGGCTGACAACTGAGGGCTTCAGTGAATTAGTTTATTGGGTAACCACTATAAAAAAATCCAGGCTTTTGCTAGCCAAGAAGCAACAAAGCTGCAGGAAAGGTCAGGCTCTGTTCATCCTGCAACCTGTCTCCATCCGGAGGGGCTTTGACTGCCTGTGGCCAGGAGCGAAGTGGAAGTTCCCAGCATGGCTCATCATGATAGAGTCATGGGTTTTCCAGCACGGTCCCTTCTGCCAGTTGTGTACTTGGCTTGGTATTTCTTTTCCTGCAGGTGTCTTGCAACTACAGTAATTGTAACACAAAGACATTGCCTTGTCACAAAGAGTATCCCCCTCCTTGCTCGTGTACTCTCCATGAATCTCTGTATAGCAATCTATGGAATATGGCATCATGCCTGGCATCTTGCATGTCCCCTTAGTCAGTTTAGCAGAGGCCTTTCCTGTAGGATGTGACTATTGCATTTGATGTTTCCGCTGCTGGCAATACTTTGCTATACCATTATGCCTATTTTATAAATGAGGAAAGTGCACCTGGTAACACAAAGCTCAGAGTCACTGGTGTGATAACAGCCACCTACTGCCTGACTCATCCCATTAGTCTCCCAGGGAGACCAGGTACTGCCTCAGTCACCAAGAGAACCAAAAAAAAACTAAATCAGGTAGACTGCAGAGTCAATGGCAGTAAGAGATGAGGAATTTATGGATCACTATTGTGCCTTTAGAAAGTACCTTTCATCCTAACCCAAGTTAACAACTTCCTGGGGTTTTAGATTTGCTAACACTATGTCCATGAAATTGTTTTTACTTGTTAATAGGATAATTCAAGTACCTGTGTATGGCCTGTGGTCATTCTGGTTATTAAGGGCAGATACACCCTATTTTAACACTGAGTGTAGATTGTTTGATCACCTCTATTGCTCAGTGTTGAAGCTCAGAGGGTAACATTTTTCTTTGTTAGATTTATGAGGTGTTTCTCTACTGAAAAAGTGGTATTTAGCCCTAAGTACCAAACAGTCCACTCCCAATACAATCATCTTTGTTTAAAGATGAGAAAATAATTAAGGGAGAACTTAATTGATTACATTGCTGTCAAATATACATAATTACTGCATGGTGATGACATGCATCTCCTGCTTTGCGTATTCAAAGCCATTAACTAGTTTCTGTTCATTTAGTGGCAGATTTCTGTTGACAAAGCAGTCACTGCTTTAGCACTAAAGCATGAAAACTAGCTTTTTTTTGAAGATAATTAAAAATGCAAGTATAAATTTGCTGGGACTTTCAGCAGTCGCTGTGTGTGAAGAGCCTCAGTGTATTTGGGGCAAACATGATGAATTTGGAGCTCAGTTCATGAAACAAATAATCAAAAAACAAACAAACAAAAAAAAGCTCATAAAATGATCACTGACTACTTGCCTTCCAAAAGAAACGTTTCGTCTGTGTTCAATGTATATTGGCCAAGTAGAGCTGGATTTATTTTCACCTGTTAGAAAAGGCTGTTGTTCTTCTGAGACACCACAAGAGGGTAGTTAAAGAGAGACTGAAATATGTGTAGGCTGACGGGATGGCTATGCTGGTTTGTGCAAGGTGAATGTGGCTTTAAATTATTTTTATACGTGTCTGATCTGTGAGGAGCTCTCCTGTTCCCTGCATAAATGACAGAAATCTCAATGGTGCTGTGGCAGGCAATGATCAGGTTGACTAAAGAGTGACCTTGCTTTATCACATTTAATAAGAGGGATCAGAAGTGGTCTGTACCCAGGACCGTTCAGCTAGATAGAGGTAATCATATTTTGCAGAGTTAGGCTTAAAGTGCATGGTGCTACAGTCCAGCAACAAAGCACGTTGCTTATGTTATGGGAATAAAAGATGCCTCTCTATTGCAAATGGTGCGTACGATGAGTCAACGTGTGTCAGACCCTCAAAGCCTCAGCCATTAATGAGGACATCAACCTGTGTTATCCATTACCTGCCTTTTGAAGGGGCTAACTGCAGTCAGCAGTGAATCGCTTCATTTGGAGATGAGGAAAAAAATTAAAGTCAAGTTTTCTAAGGACATAAACCAAAATGGTTTATTTAACATCCATACAGCTGTCTGCTTCACACCAGCAGGTTTTTTGTTTTGTTTTGTTTTTCCCTGTTCTGCCCTATTCACCTTTGCCATGTCAGCTGAAGGCTAACAATCTGCTGATGTTGTCAAAGCCCTGCTGACCCCTGAGGAGGTCTGCCTGCCTCAAGGGGCTTTTCCTCAGAGTGCCTTGAGCAGGCAACTACAGGGAAGTGCAGCCTTTCAGCTGGACTAAGGGGCTGAAGCAGACCTGGTGGAGCCTCCAGCTCCCATTCCCACAGCCCCACATGCACCTGCCCCCTGGCCAAACCACACCAAGAGCCTGGAAAAGGAGCTGTCCCCATTGGCATGGCACAGCCAGTGTCAGAGTCCCTCAGAAAGCAATGACTGAGGCATCTTGCACCCAAAGGCAGGTCCAGAGGCACAGCACACCAGTGGCTGCCAAATAGCTCACACCTGTGGATACAGCAGCTGAAGGTTTAAACACTAATTGGCATAGAGATAGAATTAATTCTGTGCTGAAAATGCTTGTTGTGTGGTGAGCACTGCATGGAGGGCTCCTGTGTGCCTCACCAGGGTGGATGTGGGTACCCCCACACAGGGGGTGTCTGGTGATCCTCAGGACTGCCTCCTTGACTGGAGAGAAGTGGGTGCTGTTCCAGGGCAGGACAACCCCCTGAAGGCAGTGCCCTGCTCTGCTCACCTGAAGTCACCAAAAGGGTTTCAATGAAGCCAAGCAGTGAGGTGAGCCAGCAATGAGGCAAAGCGCCATGTTGATGAGATGGTGACTTGCTCCCATGTGTCCTGCGGAGGGCAGGAGCAGCTTGGCCCCCCCCAACTGGCTGTGCCACCCCACGCTGGGCTCCTTCTAGCAGTGCTGGGGCTGCTACGTGTGGAGGGGCCAGCAGCCCTGCAGCGTTATCATTGTGGTGCTACTGCGAGCCGTGGTTTGTTGTCAGTGGCACTATGTTATGACAGTCATTATGGTTTTAAATGACTCATTTTCCACTTAACTGTATTATTGTGGCTTATAAAGCATCTGGAGCTCTGCAGCAGTAAATGCATCACTTTGCTACAACAATATACTAATCTATTTCTTTGAAGGCTTTATTCAACAAAAGACAGTCGTTGCAGGTAGGTGCGTACAGACATCCAGCCTGTCCCTCGGGGCCTGGCCCACTGGGCCTTCAGTCCTGGTGGCCCACCAGCATAGGTCAGAAACATGTCATGCTGCTGGCGTATCTGCAGAAACCAATCTACATGTCTTTAGTATGACTTGCCAGTAGCAGCGATTTGGCATCTCTTAGTGAGACAGAGAGAGATTGCCAGATATGCGTGAGAGAGAGGCTCTGTGTTTGTGCCAAGGTGGCCTTTGAGGCATTAGTGTCCTGCGGACCAACGTGGGTCTGCTCATACCAGTCAGTCCTGACTAATAAAGCCCCTCTAGACTCTTCGTTTTATTCATTTTATTTCGTTTTCACTCAGCGTGAGCGGAGGTTCGTGTGGGCACGGCCGGGAAAGCGGCTGCAGAGGGCAGTGTGGGAGAGAGAGAAAGCCGAGCCGACATGGCGGCGGGCTGCTGGCCCGTGGGCGCGCTCGGACGCTAGAGGGAGACGCCTGCCCGGCGGCGGCAGGGAGCAGGCTTTTTGAAGCTCTAAAGATGGACTTTTGGGGCTGTTTGTTTGCTTTTTTAAAAAGTCTTCAACAGATTTGTCTCTTCCGCGGCCTCTTGTGCCGGCCCGCAGCAAGGCGGCAGCTGGTGCCCCTCAGGCTGCTTTGGTGTTCTTAGCAAACCTCAGCAGTTCCCACTTCTGATTTGAGACCCACAAGGTGTTAGGATGAGAAAGCTCTTGTTTGATGTTACTTTGATAAAGGTATTTAGAGAAACATATCGAGGAATGCAGAAAATTGAAGTAAATACAGAGAAAAAAAAGCAACAGCTGTAAGTTAAACTGTCACCTTTAGTGAGTTGAAAAAATTAAGAACTAAGAAAAGGAGCAGGTACAATAGGGCTCTTAAAATGTACTTATTTACTTGTTTGTTATCAAAAGGCACTGCGAACTCCTGTCTTTCTCTGTCAGTACCTCTGAATTCTCTCCCTTACAGGTTGGGCATACAAGATGGTGGAACTGGATTGTCCATGTGGCTGCGAGCCTGGCGGCAGAGGTGGGTCTGGCAGCTGGACAAGGTGGAATGGGAAAAGGGTGAATTTTTATCTCAAATGAGGTGGGGAAGGCTCTGGGGAGCAAGATCAACTCTTTGTGTATTGTTCTGTCCCAAATATTGCTTTTATCTGATACGTTTGTGTGGGAAGGGTGTTTGTAAATACCCTCATGGCATGTCCTCACCAGCTGAGGCAGCATGGATGGCCAGCAGGTCAGTGGGTGCCAGGGTAGACAGCTGGTGTCTTGCTGTGCTCTCCAGGCAGCAGTCACTCCAGTTTTTGTACCTGGATGTGCTGTATTCCTCTAGCTTGTGTATAAGAAGGCTTTTCTAGCTGAAATTGTGAGCATCCCAATCATGATGTTCAGCGTGCTAGCCAAACTCAGGCTCTGCTAACATGGGGATGCAGCCTAACTATGTTGAATTAGAGGTACAATTTGTCCTTGCTCCCATAGTATGAAGATAAATTAAATGTGTGCTTGTTCTGTAGCATGTTTCTGCAGATGATTGCATGTTGCAAAATTGTATTTAAAAGCAAAGAACTAGCAGTTTGAGTTTTGATTTCTTACCTAATCTGCTAGGGACTCTTTAAGAAGGTCATATTAAGAATCTGTGCCTCTGCTTCTTTCTCTGTGATATGACTGCCCCAGCCCCTCACCTTTTTCCTCCTGTAAAGAGCATGAAAGTCTGTTTTTGGAAATTCTGTGTGAGAAGTTTCATGGTGCAGGTTTGGTTTGGTTTGGTTCCCCTTCTCCCCCACTGTATATGCTGATGTCCATTAGCAATGCAGTAAGTTTGTTCTGGCAGGTTACATCTTTAGGTTGACTTGAATTTGGAGGGATTACAGTCAAAGTGGGCATCAGATTTTGAGAATTATTCTGCAACGACTGCAACAGAATTAGCAGTAATATAAAGCTAAACTGTATTTGACATCAAATTAATTTGTTCCCAGTCTCAACAGTTTTGTGATATTTGCTCTGAATGGCACCAAAACTTCCTGATAAAACAGAGAACAGTCTATCTCCAGGAAATCTACCATAAAGTATTTGGATCTCTTTCTAATTGACTGTTTACATGAGTTTCCATTAAATTCTGGCATCCAGACTACAGTGGGATCATTCTGGACCTTATTTTTATGCATATACCTTTCACAACTTCAGTTTTACTCAAATATGCAGGGACTGAATTTGCCTGTTACTGCAAGGCTAAATCCAGAATGTCCTTGACTTTCACTTCCAAAATACTTTGCATGTGAATGTCTGCAGCATTTTGGTGAGTGAGCTAAGCACTATGTTAAACCTAGGAATCCAACTGAAAAATAAGAAGACAACACTGCAACACTATACTTACCAGGGTTTTATTTTTATTTTTGTTACCGTAAACATATTCCATTATTAAAACTGCAGTGAAAGACCATGGCATTGCAAGCTGAACTCCTCAGGACAGGAAAAAGACCCCCCAAAGATAGCTATATATATGTATATCAGATGGGAAACAGTAAAAAGAGACAAAAAGTGATGGTTAAATACAGGTTTGTAGGATTTTGTTTTATCTAGAATACTAGATTAGGAGTTTGGGTTTTTACAAAGGAAGATGAGTTTACTGCTTTCTTTTGGCATGTGGCTTTCTTCAGGCAATTCTGAAGGATTCTTTGAATGGCTTAAGTATTGGCAAACAGGGAGTTCAGTGGCCTGTAAAAACAGCTGATGGGTATAAAAACAGTGCATTGATATTAGCCTGGAAGAGGATGTTTTGAGAGGATGGTTTATGAGGATATTTATGATTTTAAGGAAGGGACAGAGGATTGTCTAACAGGTATATGAACAGAATATCTAAAAAGCTATGAATGGGAATGATCTGTATGTAATAGAAAACTTGGATACAAAATAAAATGTTTTGATGTGAATATCTGAACCTGCAAGTGGTGCAAAGGCAGGTTAAAGGGCCGATGAAGCTTGTGATTATTTTTTTTTCTGTTTTGTAGGTAGCTGAAGGTGATAACTCTTCCACTGTTGAGCATCAGGGAAATTCCAGGAGTTCCTAAATTTGCCACAGGTGGGAAAAACTTTTATTAAAGTTGTTGCTGGAAGAGTTATGGCAAAATCACCTGTTTTGCTTCACTAAACAAAACTGTTGTGCTTTTATTCCACCTGTGGAATAGAAGGGGAACAGGCTACCTGGGAACGCCACCAGATAGCCTGTTCCAAAAAAAAATCCAAAAACTGTGTATTTTTGTATTGTCTTTTCAGCTAAGTAAGACACTGGCAGAATTACATAGTTTACTGAGTATCAAAATAAGCCTAATTGTCCAAATTTCTCTGTTTGGGAAATTTGTATTATATATGTATATCATACGTTATGCTTGAATCTCCATCCTGTAGATCTATGAAAACAATAAATAAAAAAGTCACTGTTCTGGGTAGAGAATGCAACTCTCCTGCTAACTTCAAAAGACAAAACAGGAAATGTCATTTTGAAGTAATGTTAAAGCCCCAGCTCAACTCCAGTCTGAGGTTGTTTGCCACCAGATCAAACAGAGAGCTGGGACCATACCAGCTTTAGGAAGCAGAGTTCAGCTCTCCGGGAATCATAACAAAGCTATATGTACTCCAGAACAAGACAAGTTTCTCAGGGCTGTTAAGTCCTGGGTATTCTCAGTAACCAGACTTCCAGGTTCCCAAAATACTGACAGACCAGTCCGGCAAACCCAAAGCAGTGTCTAATGAAGGTATTTTCCTTTGAAATCTGACCAAAGGCTCACTTCCCATATTTTCCCTGAGAGACCCACAGACCATAAATTTGAGTGTACTGCCAGCTTTGGTAGACACAAGTTTCCAAAGGCTGCTGGTCCTGTAGCACTTAAACTAAATTCCCTTTCACTTAATTTGTGTCTTCCATGCCCATGATGTGAAATCCCTGCATCCTGCTAGCTGAGAATATGGAGGAAACTTGCCTCTGTTGTTGGAAGCTATTATATTTCCATGAAGCATTTATGGTTTGGTTCATTGCATTTTTCCAGCGTTTTCCTGGAAAAATTTCAGCAGCTCCAATTCTGCCTCGTGTGTTTAGGTGGCAAATGCTGCAGGGCACAGCCTGGCACACTGAATGTGTGGATGTGGTACTGAGCCCTATTTGCACCTGAGTCATAATGCCTGAAGGCTACCACAAAACTCCAGATTCTCAGTGAGCTTTGTATGCTTGGCTTAGGTATGTTTTCCACCACGTCACAGATAATACATCACATCCTAGCTGAAAAGGCTTTGATACTTCACTTAGGATCTCATGTAGCTACAGAAACAGCACAGAGGGGAGTTGCTGCCTATTGCACCAGGAGAGAGCTTCACCTCAAAGCAGCTGCTGCATGTTGTGCTGTGACGACTTAAGCTGTTCCCAATAGGGCTATTTGCTTGTTTAGATTTACTTAGTCTTGGATCTGAGTTACCTGTGCTAGACTGTGCAAAGCAGGAAAACCAGGCTTACTACCCAGGTATGAAACGTCCAAGGCTATGCACAGATAGCCTTACCTTGACAGGATGGGCTTCGGTGCCAGAGTTTTTTCAGTGGTTTAAGTGTGTCCAGTTTTTCAGGAAATAAAGAAGCACTTTAAGGCATAATTTGATGGAAGCTAAAACCAATAACCTACCTTTCAGGTGAGCTTCTGTAGTAGGTGGGACGTGATAGCATGGTGGAAAGTATGTAGGTATTCGCTTGTAGGCTACAGCTGCTCGAAGACTGGCTTCCTTCCTTCCTTCAGCCACATCCTAATCCAGGCTAGGGTACTGAAGAACACACTTAGCATTTTACAGCACCATAGAAAATACTTGAGGATTTGCACTTGAAGGTAGAACTTGTCGATCTTGTGGAAAGTATTTTACTCCTAGGGGTCTTGGTAAGTCTTAGGATTTTGCTGATATCTTAATGCGTGGAGGGCTGATTGTCTAATGATCAGGATGATCTCTGAGCATGTAATATTTCTACATTTCACACACTAAAATGTATGTGTGATTTTTTTTTTCCTTTTTTGTTTGTTGGGATGCCTTCAAGTCAAGAGACATCTTATAAATGGGGAATCTGGTCAAAGGAAAATTAAATCCAAGACTACATAAGCCTGATGAAGGAGGAAGTGAGAGCTCAGCCATGGATTCCGTAGTCTGTCCTTCTCCCCTCCTCTGTACACATCATTAGCAGTCTTGTTATTCTACAGAGCAAGTATCCAGATGAATTACGAGTCAAAAAGGAGAGAAGGGATATAGAATAATGTTTTAAGCCTCAGAACAGGTCACTTCAAGTGATGAGCGACTTTTGTTTTGTTGGAATTCTTTCCAGCATTGCCAGTGCTCATGCTGCTCTTTACAGGAACAAAAGGCTTGTCTATTCTGAGTTGCAGTGCAGCATTTTTTGCCTGCCCTAAATTCACTTAATTTTAACTTAATCACTCCATATTTTTTCATGTTTCTGTGAGGCTACCATGTTGCTGTCTCAGCAGTAATAGTGAGAAGTTGAAAGAAGTTAATCGTGCTGCGTAGCTCAATGCCTTATGGTTTATTATTAAGAATAAAGACAAGTACTCCACTATTTAATCTCTAATGTGCAGTTAACTTAATTCCTAATCCTCTAAAGAGATGGTGTTCTTCCTAATGCTTTGGCTTCTGCCTTGCTTTCAAGCTGTGCATGAAACTTAAAAGCCAAAATACTCAGTGCTGAGAAAATTTTAATAAATGCATGCATAACTCAGTCTGCATTTGCTTCTGCTTAAACATTCAGGGAGAGAAGTTTTCCTCTTATTAGAGTGCCTGATTGAAATGAATGCTTAGGGGGCTGCTTTCCCATTCTTGTGCTACTGATGCGTGGTGCAGCACAGACAGCCTGGACTGATACGGGATTAGTTTAGTTCTCTGCTCTAAGCATTGGTAACTGTCTAAAATACCTCTTTCTCCTTGTCTGCTAGTTCTTTTCTTAGCCTGGCCGCCTCCTCCCTCCCTATTATTTTCATAGTTCCATGCTAGATCTGACTGAGTATTCACTGAGGACATGTGGGCTGTGCTACAAGTTAATAAGCTTCTGCAAGCCGTTAGTTCTTTACAGTGATATTTTTCTTTATTTCCAGTGTATTATGGTGTGATGGCATTTAACAAACAAGCTTCAGCTGCAGAGTTTTGGCATTGTGTTTTCACTCATGGAAAACCTTGCGCGTGTCCCTGTCCTCTTCATCCATAAGCCTGGGTATGAGCCCCATGCTTGCCCAGACAACATCCGTGCTCAGGTTATGTTTTCAGACTGCATGTAGATGCCAAAAGCCTGTTGTTTTGGTATTTTATTTTCATTGCCTCTCCTTTTTGGGTATGTTTAACTTCAGCCTCTTTCAATCTTCCTGTTTTACTACTATCCCGCACATTAGTTTTATTCCACTCAGCTAATTGGATTAATGCACTTAGTGTATTTATTGCACAGTATTGATTTGATAATACCTCTCATACACTCTTCACCATAATCTCTTATTTTCTTTGGACAACACTAAATGCTTCTCCACCCCCACCTTTGCACTTAGACTTCATGTGTAAGATCACAGCAGTGATTAAACCCCCCTGAAGCTAATCATGCTGTGCCCTGCAGGCCTGGTGTGCCTGGCTGACTTCTCCTTAGCCTTCAGTGCTTAGGAAAGTGTTGGATAATGCTTTCAATAGCTGCTCAGTGCTAATGTAGGTGATCTCACAAAATTTGAGGCTTGTGTTTTTGCAAGTGGTTAGTCACTTGAGTGCTTAGCTTTGGTGCCTTTGGGGGAGGTTAAATACCTCAAATATTTGCTTGCCTGTGCTTACTTTTCAATGTTCAAACTTCTGGCAAGAGCTCAGCATCCAAATTCCCCGATGACCTGTGAAAATCTCTGCCTAAGTGTCTAAAGCATGTAAGTCTAAAGCTTTCCTAGAGTCAAGAATTGTTTGCAACATGCAAAGTCTAATTCACCGGAATTATCAGTGGCTTTCCAGAAAGTATGGCAAAAAAGAGCCTGTGTTGATTCCCTCTCTGTTGTTGTTTGACAGTCAGGTGCGTGTTCAAGTATGTGTGAGCTATTCAGGGTTTTCAGCTTCACGTGTATCTTTATTTTTATCCCCAGTTCCTGAAAAAAACATGTTCGTTATATAGACTGCACTCTAAAAACGTGAAATGGTGTGCTGGGCTGGACAGTGGTTTTCCCCAACTGAGCTGAGGCTTCCTTCTACCTCATCTGCCTTTGCTTGCCTTTGTGTGGCCATGCTGAGCGCAGCCGAGGCCTCGTGTGCTGCTGAGGCTGTCTGAGGCTGGTCCTGTGCAAGGAGCTACTTGCACACAGGATCCTGGCAGTTCTCCCATCTCCTCCAAACAACAGCACGATGATGAAATAGTTTGGTGCAGAAGGAATGGGAAGCAAAATGGTCTGCCTGCCCCTTTCTGGAGTTGATCTGACACGTTGGAAATAGGGTTTCCTCCGCTCAGAGAGGTTGTGTAGCCCAGAGCAGAGGTTAATGCTCTCTCAAGCAGAGAGCGTGCTCTCCAGGTGTAGGCAGTTTTATTTTCTGTCTCACTCTGCAGTTGTTGCTGAGTGTTAAAAGATATTTTCATTATACTAAGGCAGTTGTAAGACATTACCTCCATTTGACAGCCTCTACACCAGCTTGCTGCTCTCATCAAGCAGATGCATTTCTTTACTCTCAGTATCAACATGTCACTTGTCTGAGATCCAAAGCTGTGGCATGAGGAGAGGACCATCAGAAAATAACAGGCTGTGTACATGAGGTGTCTGGGAATGCTGTCACACAGGTACCAAAGGAAGGTGGGATTGTGAGGGGATTTTTGTGTGTGCGCCCTATATGACAATACATTGACTGCAATTTGAGGTTAAAAAGAAATCCTCTTGAGGCTAAAACTGCAACCCAGGACAGCAAGTTCCTTGGGGTAATTTGCTTGTGTTAGTGGGGAGTTAGAGCCCTTAACTCTCCCTGGAGACTGGTAGGGAGGTTGCTTTTTGTTGTTGTTTTATATATATATATATATATATATATATATATATATATTAT